AAGCAAAACGTAGAATTTAAAAAAAATATTTTTAAGGATTAATGCAAAACGTGGATTTAATAAAAAATATTTTTTTAAGGATTAAAACTAATTTTATTTAATTATCAAAAACGTGGATTTAATAAAAACTATTTTTTGCAGGATTAAAACAAATTTTATTTAAAGACCAAAAACTAGTTTTTGCAGTATTAAACAAATTTTATTTAAGGACCAAAAACGTGGATTTAATAAAAACTATTTTTTGCAGGATTAAAACAAATTTTATTTAAAGACCAAAAACTAGTTTTTGCAGTATTAAAACAAATTTTATTTAAGGACCAAAAACGTGGATTTAAAAAAAACTTTTTTTTTGAAAGGATTAAAAAATTTGCTTTGAGGACCAAAAACGTGGGCTTAATAAAAAATATTTCTGCAAGGATTTTTTAAAGATTTTTTTTTCGAGGACCAAAAACTAGGTTTTTCTAAAAAATATGTTTCCAAGGATTATTTAAAAAATATTTTTGCAAGGACCAAAACGAGGATTTTTTAAAGAAAGAATTTTCAAGGATTAATGTAAAAAGTTGAATTAAAAAAAAATTAATGACCAAAAACGTGGATTTTTTGAAGAATATTTTTTCATTGACCAAAAACGTAGATTGTTAAAAAATATTTTTTCCATTAAAGGACATTTTTCAAGGACCAAAAAGTGAATTTAAAAGAGACTATTCTTTCGAGGACCAAAAATGTGAAAGAATATTTTTTCAAGGACCAAAAAAGTGGGCTTAATGAAAAATATTTGTTAAAGAATTTTTTTGATGACCAAGCACCTGGACTTAATAAAGAATATTTTTCAAGGGCCAAAAACATGGATTTAATAATAAAGAACATTTTTTAAAGCAACATTTTTTGAGGACCCGAAGATTTAATTAAAAAAAATATATTTTCAAGAATTTTTTAAAGTCATTTTTTTTTCGAGGACCTGATGCTTGGGTTTTCTAAAAAATATTTTTCCAAAATTTTTTTTTTAAATATTTTTTCAAGGACCAAAAAACGGGATAATTCTGGAATCTGTAACACTTCGGATAAGTTGGCATGAAACTTGCGCCTTTGTTTAAAAATCCAACAAAAATCCTTGAAATGCCTGCTAAGAGCGAACTAAAAATGCCTTAAGGGGCGTAATATTCTAATATGGTTATTAGAGAGCGTGGGATTATGGTTATTTAGAAATTTTAAATAAAATTATTCCAATTACTATAAATTGGAAATGGGGGTCTCTGCTGTTGCCTTGAAAATTTGAAAATTAAAGGATACTAATATATTCGAAATATTGCCATATAGTCATCAAATAATGGGTAAAGTTATGATTCAGAAGTATTGCGTTAAGGATGCTCAATGTTTTTCGCAAGCATAGTAGGCTCCCCAAAGCCAACCGAAATCTATGCGAACCTGAACCCAAATACTTTCGAACCGACAACAGCACAAATACATTGAATTACGAACAGTTCACTCGATAATCTCCAAGCCGATAATTGGAATGCTTGCGAACAACGAGAAACTCACCTATTTACTTCCCAGTCGACAATAACTCAAACACTATCCAACCGATAGTAATCTGATTATTTCCGAGGCGATCACAACAGAAACACTTTTGAGCCGAGAGAAATTCACCCAACTACGTCTAAGCCGTCGGGCAAACATATCCGAGTAACAGAAGATATATTTCACACTTAATTTTCTGCCATTTTATCTCTGAACGTTAACACAATCTCAATAAATAATAGCCATTGAATTAATGTGACATAAAGCCTAAAAGTATGCTAAACATTTAGTGTTTTGATGGAGTTTAAATTCATTAAAAGCTCAATATCTTTACACAACAACTGGTTATAACGTAATACACACATCGTACTGCAGATATTGATTAAAAAATGCTTTTATTGTCCATTTCGTATCGGACCTAAATAAATATGATATAAATATTGCGACGTGACAGATTTGGACCATATTGGTTACTTCCTTCACTTTATATGAGATATGTGAAAATTTTTAGAAAATGTAAAAAATGTGCGTGACGTAGCAGATATAGTCGACCGAAGTATTCCATTTTCATACTCCATCTAATCCAGATAAAAATATTGGTATAGGCAAAATTACAAGAAAATCGAACATTTTTATGCGATATCATAAATTCAACATTCATCTCAGATTTCTGGTGAGAGAATATTTTAGACATATCGAGTTGTAAAGAGTCGCTGTTCGCAAGTTATGTCATATATAAATATTGAAAATTGTGACAATCTGCGGAACGTGTTCGCAGATATCTATCATCTTCACAACAGATCTTGCGTTAGCAAAAATGTTTGTACGTGTGAAAATTGCAGAGAGTTGGTTGTTTATATCGATTTCATTGAGCGTTTTATTTTTCAAAATGTTGAACCCTATGTGTGGAATATGCCAGAAAAAATGGTCCGATATCTACCATTTTTATAACAGATCATGTGTTGATGGGAATATTGAGATATACCAAGTCTGAATGGAATCGGATGTAAATTTCGCATTTTATGAGCTTCGTGGATATTAAAAATTTTGACCCTTTGTAGGGGAGGTACCAAAAGGAGTGGAAATATCTCCAAGCAAATCTTGTGTTAGTAAAAATAATGAGATGTGTGAAATCTCAAGAGAACCGGATATTTATTTTGGATTTTATGATCGTTTTGGCTATTCAAAACTTTGACCCTTTATGGGGAAGGTACCAGAAGAAATGGCCCGATCTCAACCATCTTTAGAACATATCTTGTGTTGATGGAAATATTGAGATGTGCCAAGTCTGAGTGGGATCGAATGTTAATTTTGCGCTTTATGAGCTTCATGGATAATACAAATTTCGACAAATTTTGTGTTAAGTACCAGATGGAGTGGACTGATATATTCCATCTTCACACCAGACTTTGGGTTAATAAAAATATTGTGATGTATGAAATTTGAAGATAAAAATTTTTAAGAGATATAATGTTTTAAAATTTTGACCCTTTGTGGGGGCGGTACTTGATGGAGTGTATCGATATTGTCCATATTCGCACTTGGCCTAGCACTGATACAAATATTAGGATTTGAAAAGTTAGAGCAAAGTCGGATGATCCTTTTTATACCCTACAACACTATGTGTTGGGGGTATTATAAGTTTGATTGGGCCAAGAATTATGTAACACCTCGAAATATTGATTTCCCACATAAGAAAGTATACATGGATCTTCCTATCTCGCCGAGTTGAGTCGATCTAGCTATGTATGTCCGTCCGTCCGTCTGTCCATGTTAATTTGTAATCACTCTACAGGTCGCAATTATGGCCCGATCTTCACGAAATTTAGAATGGAGGTGGGGCTAGGGTCAGAATAGAACCCTATTTCTTTTGGAGGTCATCGCCAAATGTTTAGGGATTGAAATGGACCAAATATTGAAAAAATGTCGGATTTTGCAGTAGCTATACAGGTCGCAATTATAGACCAATCGACCCGGAACTTTGCATGTAGCTAGAGTTTAGGGCGAGGAAGAAGCCTACCAATTTGGGTGGTCATCGGATAATATTTAGCGGGTAAAATAGACCATATCTTTTTCGTTGAAAAAATTCAAAATTTTTCATTAAACCGCGAATATTTTATATCCCGGCGAACTCACAAAGCCATGACAAGGTTACTTCTGACCTTTACAGTGATGTTAACATTCAACAAATCGCATATATAGCAAAATATGTGCGATATATATGTCTATCAAAGAAGATATGCTTGAAAGATCTCTTATATGTCGAGAACGGCTGAACTGATTTCGACAGTTCTCATTAATTCAGAATGGTCTCTTGGCAGGAAAGAAAAAACGTCAAAAAAAATCGTATAAAAATATCTCTCTAAAGATGAAAATTTTGATTTTGTAAAATTTTCTCATATTTTTTTTTTAATTTTGTCATATTTTTGGCATATTTTCATTTTGAATTAAACATTTGGTAATATTTCTACAGCTAACAAAACTAAGTAGTTAGGATAACAGGATATCATATACAGATCGCATTTATGGCCCGATCCTTACGAAATTTTGTATGGGTATAAAATGAGGGTCAGAATAGAAGCCTACTCTTTTTGGAGATGACCGTCATATATTTAGGGGTTGAAATGGACCAAAAAACTGCAAAATTGTCAGCAGGTCGTAATTATCGCCCGATCCTCACGCACATTTGAATGGGGGTTACCGGACATTGCAAAAACCAAGCAGTTTTGGATGGCCATCCAAAAATATTCAATGTGCGAAATAGTTTGCCAACTTTTCTTGACAAGATACGAAAATGTCCATTCCAGTGACTTTTTGGAGAATTCACAAATACAGGAAAGACGCACTTCCGACTATTTCGTTGAAGAATATAGTCAAATGTCTGTATCTCATATAGATGCATTTCAGTCAAAAACCAATAATAAATGTTAATATTTGGCCACTTCTGAGAGATTATAGGTCTTTTGAAAATATTGGTTTCAGATCTAGGAAGACCATTTACGTGCAAAATCTACCAATAAATTGGAAATGAGTTGCTGTTATTTGAAACCTGATGGTTTTCTTTTATTATTTGTCACAATATCTTGTGGAATTCTTTCGAGTTTCTCGCCTATATAAACTGTATCGTTTATTATAGTGTTGTAGGGTATTCAATGGTCGGCCCCGCTTGACTGTAGCCTTTGCTTACTTGTTATTTATGTGCTGTAAAATATTTTAGTCAGAATTTCAAGTAAAACTTCGTCTAATTCGGTTTTTTTGTTACTTTCGATTATGTTGTTAATCAAAACATGACTCCAACATTAAAAATTATTGTAAAATACTCATGAAAAATGTGCTCATCAATATAAATATATTTATAATGTGTTACAGATCTTGTGGAATTCAAGAGATAAATTGTACCTGGTGTACAAAAAATAAATAAATGTGATATGTTATCAATGGTGTTCGAAATGAATCACAGATAACGGAAACACGGTTTGTATCTTGAGACATCCGCAAAGAATTCATTTGAAGTTAGAGTTCGGAAAGAAGAGGAAGTATCGGAAATAGAAATGGGAATCTACATTCCCATTGCAATTTTTATCATTTGCTTAGGCAACATTCCGAAAATCGAGGCAATTGATGAAATTATAGGTAATTTGACCGAAATAGAATTAATTTTAAATAAAAATAATACTTTTCTATTTTTGCAGATTGTTCCAATGAAGAGTTGGTCACCTCGGTGTTTAATGAACCCATAGATCTATCTTTAAATGGCACCATTAAAATCTATGAAAATGTCGTAATAAATGGAATTCTGTCAACCTCAAACAATGAGTTTGAGGTGAAGTATATTGATGCTCGTTTGGATAATACCACTTCTAGTAATACCACCACCATTGCGGGCAATGGAACTCAAAATTTGATTATATTCACCACCGAACATTTCCAAAACTATGCCAAGGAACAGACCTCAGCAAGAATTTCATTGAAAATAAATTTGGATTGTGGTTCGGGAAAGGAGAGAATTTTGGTAAGAGAAGATGATTTTTTTTAAATATGAGCAATGCAACTTTCAGCTCTTCTTGAAAGAGAAAAAAAACCAAAATAAATTAAAAACAAGTAAGCAAAGGCTACATTCGAGCAGGGCCGACCGTTGAATACCCTACAACACTATAATAAACCATACAGTTTATATAGGCGAAATACTCGACAAAATTCCACAAGATATTGTGACAAATAATACAAGAAAACCATCAGGTTTCGTTCTCTAATTTTCGAATAATAGCAACTTAAACTAATTTGCTCATTTCCAATTTATTGGAAGATGCTGCAGGTAAATGGTCTTCCTAGATCTGGAACCAATAATTCCCAAAGACCTATAATCTCTCAGAAGTGGCAAAAGATTAACATTTATTATTGGTTTTTGACTGAAACGCATCTATATGAGATACAGCCATTTGACTATTTTCTTCAACGAAATCAGCGTTAACGAAATAGTCGGAAGCGCGTCTTTCCTGTATTTGTGAATTCTCCAAAAAGTCACTGGAATCGACATTTTCGTATTTTGTCTACAAAAGTTGGCAAACTCCTTCACACATTGAATATTTTTGGATGGTCATCCAAAACTGCTTGGCTTTTGCAATGTGCGGTAACCCCCATTCAAATATGCGTGAGGATCGGGCGATAATTACGACCTGCCGACAATTTTGCAGTTTTTTGGTCCATTTGGCGATCATCTCCAAAAAGAGTAGACTTCTATTGACCCTCATCTTATCCCCATGCAAAATTTCGTAAGGATCGGGCCATAAATGAGATCTGTATATGATATCCTGATATCCTAACTACTTAGTTTTGTTAGCTGTACAAATATTACCAAATGTTTAATTCAAAATGAAAATATGCCAAAAATATGACAACATTGAAAAAAATATGAAACAATTTTACAAAATCAATATTTTCATCTTTAGAGAGATATTTTTATGCGATTTTTTTAGACGTTTTTTCTTTCCTGCCAAGAGGCCATTCTGAATTAATGAGAACTGTCGAAATCAGTTCAGCCGTTCTCGACACATAAGAGATCTTTCAAGCATATCTCATTTGATAGACATATATATCGCACATATTTTGCTATTTATCCGATTTGTTGGATAATAACATCAATGTAAAGGTCAGAAGTAACCTTGTAATGGCTTTGTGATTTCGCCGGGATTTAAAATATTCACGGTTTAATGAAAAATTTTGAATTTTTTTCAACACAAAAGATATGGTATATTTTACCCGCTAAATATTATCCGATGACCACCCAAATTGGTAGGCTTCCTCCCCTCCCTAAACTCTATCTACATGCGAAATTTCGATTGGTCTATAATTGCGACATGTATAGCTACTGCAAAATCCGACATTTTTTCAGTATTTGATCCATTTTAACCCCTAAACATTTGGCGATCATTTCCGAAAGCAATAGGGTTGTATTCTGGTCCAAGTCCCACCTACATTCTAAATTTCGTGAAGATCGGGCCATAATTGCGACCTGTAGAGTGATTACAAATTAACATGGACAGACGGACGGACGGACATACATAGCTAGATCGACTCAGCTCGCCGAGCTAGGAAAATCCATATATACTTTCCTATGTGGGAAACCAATATTTCGAGGTGTTACATAATTTTTGGTCCAATCAAACTTATAATACCCCCAACATATAGTGTTGTAGGGAATAATTAATGATCTCCACCATAACTGACAACATTCAATAAACAATATTTTTTTACCATGCCTCTTTCTCTTTCCAGGTGTTCTTTCAACCTTTCAAAGAGGGCAACTATTATAGCCCACTGTTCTCTCAATCCCAGTATGTGCTCTTCATGCCCACACCCATATTTTCTGGTTTCGAGCTGACAACACTTTTGGAAATCTCTGCCAAAGATGACGATCTGACACACAATCAAATCAATTTTACATCGACGTCGTCGTCCCAATATCACATCTCAGTTGGTACGAAAAATGTCACCAGCGCTGATAAGAAGACCTATTTTGCCAATGTCACATTGGAGCGTATCTATTTGGAGTTGCCGCAGCAAATTGAATTTGTAATTACAGCAACTGTAAGTAAGAAAAAAAAAAAATAAAATTATATAGAAAAATTCAAACAAGACACACACACACACAATAATAGAGAAAAGAGACATATAATTGAAAGAGAGGTTACTCAGGAATAGGAAAATATTAAAATATTTCAAAGGAAAATATATGACAAAAACTTAGGAGATACTTGGCATCGGGGTTAACCCTTTATATATGGAATATACAAGAGTGTATACCGACATGGCCCATATTTTAAACCAATGAATTTTAGAATAATCCAAAACTCCCTATGCAGCAATTTAGTTTAAATGTTGCGGATAATATCTCAAAATACTTAAGTCACATTGTATATTACTAGGGCTATATAAAGGCTTTAAAAAGTTTGGCTCAAAATTCGAAACTTACATGAAATTTATCACAGCCTATTGGATTGGATATGTAAATTTGGGTAAAATTTAGAGATGAGGAATCAAATATCAAATCAAATTTCAGAATATCCCTTTATCGCTTCACCCAAAGTGATAAAAAATTAGTACCATTTTGTACTTTTCGAACAATTATAGTAGGCATTTGCAAAACCACCACCAGATCTGAACACCATTTACCTCAATATATAATTTGAGATTTGAGCTATATTCTTTCATTCAACACCAAATTAAGTACTTTTCATACAATTACAGTACGCATTTTCAAAACCACCTTGAAATTTCAATCTCAAATGCCAACAGTTATCTTAATATCAAATTTGAGGATTTCAGCACTATACCCTCACCCAATACCAGATTTAGTACCATTTAGTACTTTTCGAAAACTTATATTGTATATTACCAATCATTGCCAAATCTCAAAACACAGATACCATAAAGAATCTAAATATCAAATTTTAGTATTCTATCTCATCCCTTCACCCAATACCAATGTTTCTTTCCGTATGAGACGCTGATGCTCTCTCAGGCATACAAACCGTAACCGTAGAAATAAAAAGATAAATAAATAAAACAAAGAAGGATTAGTTTAAATATAATATAAATGACCGTTTATTGAGATGTTGTGAGAGTTTGTCAACCCGCGTCGACAGATTACCTTTTTTATGCGGTTAGCTCCGTAGCTAGCAAGAGAGACACTATGAATGCCAAGTCGCAATGCATCGAGGTGGCTGGAAGCACCGATGCTTCTAGGAAATCTCTAACAGCAACACGGGCTGAGAGAGTACCCAGAGAGAGTTGTAGAGAAATGACTTGGAAAAGCTACCTACGGTCCGAGGTGTGCGAACGTAGGCCCCAAGGAGAGTTGTAGGGAAAATCTTCAGACTAGGAAGGCTTTCTCCCTACGGTCCGAGCCAAGCGAACGTAGGCTCCAAGGGGAAGTTGCAGGCAACCTTTTAGCCCAAGAATGCATCTCTCTACGGTCCGTACTAAGCGAACGTAGGCTCTCTGGATCGTTTGGCAATTTGCAATTCTAACTTAAACAACCAAATTTAGTACTTTTAAATTTCGAACAACTATAGCACACATTTTTAAACCCATCTCAATTCCTTCACCCAATAATAAATTGTGAACTATTTTTTAGTTTTCCTACAATTATAGTACATACAGGGTGAGATAAAAAAACTGCAAGAAAGTCAAAAGCCATAATTTTTAAATTTTTTTTAATTTTTTTTGAATGAAAGCAAAAATGTCGGAAGTAGCACCAAATTTTAGAATAAGTTTAGATTTTGTTCGAATTGGTCACCTTTGGTACGAATTATGGTCTTTAAATGGCCAATGAAACCAAGGTGCGTGCCCAAGGCTGTAATACACCCTCCAGAATATTTTCGCGATAATACTCGGCATTTTCTGATGCCACGGTCGACTACTACGAGCGGAGAGCGACCATCGGCTGTTTTCTTCCATCCACTGCTCTAACGGTTTTCCAGTCAAATAAAAAGAAATAACACTATCACGCTTTAATACCGCCGCGCGAGCTGAGTGCGACGGTGCTGACGGTTTCATTGGCCGCTTCATTGTGACGGTTTCATTGGCCGTTTGAAGACACAATTCGTGCCAAAGGTGACCAGTTCGAACAAATCTTAACTTATTTTAAAATTTGATGCTATTTCCGACATTTTTTGCTTTCATTCAATATATTAAAAAAAAAATGTAAAAATTATGGCGTTTGATTTTGTTGCAGGTTTTTTATCTCACCCTGTATATTCTTAATCAGCGTACAATTCTTCAAGTCTTCGTATAGGTCCCATATATTAGTACCTCCCTATATTCGGTAATTTGACGATTTTGGGTAGAATATTCATCGAAATTGTTTATAATTTCGTATTTGAAGTTCCTAATAGGTAATACAGTCTGTGACAAAAAAATGTCTATACAGGTCCAGGTCTTCGCGTAGTCTCGATATAACAATACTTCCCTATATTCGGTATTTTGACGATTTCAACTACATTATTCACCGGATTCAAGTTTCGTATTTAAATATTGACAAAAATATGACAAAAATATGACAAAAATTACCTCTGCAGGTCCATGTTTTCGTCTGTACGAAATATATTCTTATATATTCTATATTTTATTCTTTTGAAAATTTCCAAATTCGTTCTAAATGGTGGAGGGTATTTAATGTTCGACCCGGTTGAACTTACTGCTTTTTTACTTGTTAATTTGACATTTCGGATTCTCAGTGGGTAATTGAAATTCTTGCGAAAAATTAGATTTAGATCCACCTTTTTGGTACAGCTCCCAATGTAAAGAGGTACCTCCTGATTTTCCCTATTTTGAAGGCTTCTGTACCGATTTCTGTTCAAAACGAATTTTTGAAAAACATTTTGGGTTAAATTAGATCCAAAAAAAACATAATGTGAACCCCTGAACCCCTTGTATGATCCCCACGTAAAGGTTCCTCCTAAATTTTTGGTATTTTGGAGGTATCTGCCTCAATTCCCAACCAAATTAGAATTAATTTGACATTTCGGGTATAAAATCCGAATCTGGCCGGCTTTCTTTAAATAATGTATATTTTTATTTTCACAAAATTCCCCAAGGTATCCGTAACCCGCTTTTTTAATTTTTCTATGGCACAGGGGCCATTCTATAGTTTTTTGTAACAATACCGCTGATTTTTTACTTACCAAGTTTTTGCTTAAGTACAACTATAAGTGCTGGTAATACAAATTTCATTATAAGTCTCCAAAATACTGAAGTTCATTGCAGTTGATCGATGTTTTGAAGTAATGACGTGTTTGGCTTGATGAATCATTCAGATACTCAGGAAATGTTATTTGTGTGTTTTTCATTCTCTTTTTAGCCAAGCACCTTTAAGGCCATGCCATTTAAAACACAAAAGCACAATTGGGATATTGACATTTAAAACATTACAATATTTTGCACGCTTAAATGTTAGAAAATTCTGAACTTAATTTCTTTAGATAATTTCAAGACTTCGTTGGTGTTCTATTGGAGGATCTATAGATCTTTAAAAAGATGTTCCATTATTCTTCATTTAGAAGACATATTGTTTTTTTATGGAGGCCTATTGATTATTTTTCTTCTTTGAGATGAAATGTTGTCTTCTATGAAATGTCTGACAAGTTTATTTGGTTTTCTATCACAGGACCTTTTTTTATTTTATAAGAGGACCTTTTTGTCTTTTATGAGACACATATTTTAAGACGAGTCTCATTTTTGTCCGTTATCTCTGCGTTACGGAGTAATTGTGTATTATCTCATTAAAACAATATTTGCAGGACAATGGCGAACCACCGCGCAGTTCCAATGCCACGGTCATTGTACGTTCTGACCCTCTCAAACGTTTGCCAATAAAACCCCGTTTTACCCAACAGCTGTATAAGGGAAGTATTGGTTTAGATTTTTCCATGAAACCTATACGACTGGAACTTACGAATGGATCCTATTCACCCGAAGTGGCCTATTCTCTATTTGGCAATCAAACGGAAGGATTTGAATTTGTCGACAATAAAGATGGCAGCGTACAAATTGAATGGAATGCTGATCTGTTTGATCCGGCATTTATAATTCAACACAAAAAATGGGAGCTGCAGCTGAAGGCGGAGCATTCACAAATAGCTGAATTTAGTGTGGCCACAATTGTAGTTGAGTTGGTCGATTTGCAGGGTAAGTGGAAGGTTAATGGATTATAATAAGAAAATATTTTTTAAGAAAATATATAAATTTAAAACAAAAAGTTTTTTTTTTTTTTTTTAAATATTAAGATATTCAAAGATAGAAAAAATTAAAGGATCTTTTAAATTTTATTAACGAAAATAAAATTAAAAATGGAAATTTAATAGCTTTTTTTAGAATTTATAATAAAAAATATAACAAAAAAAAATGTAGGGAAAAATTTCTAAATTTTATTAAAAATAAAATAAGTGGAAGGCTCATGGATTATAATAATCAATCGATTTTTTAAAGAAAATATTCAAATTTAAAACAAAGAGCTTTTTTTTAAATATTAAGATATTCAAAGATAGAAAAAAACAAGTAAGCAAAGGCTACAGCCGAGCGGGGCCGACCGTTGAATACCCTACAACACTATAATAAGTGATACAGTTTATATAGGCGAGATACTCGAATGAATTCCACAAGATATTGTGACAAATAATGAAATAAACCATCAGGTTTCGTTCTCTAATTTTCGAATAATACCAACTTAAGCTTATTTGCTCATTTCCCATTTATTGGAAGATGTTGCACGTAAATGGTCTTCCTAGATCTGGAACCAATATTTCTCAAAGACCTATAATCTCTCAGAAGTGGCCAAATATTAACATTTATTATTGGTTTTTGACTGAAATGCATCTATATGAGATACAGACATTTGACTATATTCTTCAACGAAATAGTCAGAAGAGCGTCTTTCCTGTATTTGTGAATTCTCCAAAAAGTCACTGGAATGGACATTTTCGTATTTTGTCAACAAAAGTTGGCAAACTATTTCGCACATTGAATATTTTTGGATGGCCATCCAAAACTGCTTGGTTTTTGCAATGTCCGGTAACCCCCATTCAAATGTGCGTGAGGATCGGGCGATAATTACGACCTGCAGTTTTTTGGTCCATTTCAACCCCTAAATATATGACGATCATCTCCAAAAAGAGTAGGCTTCTATTCTGACCCTCATCTTATACCCATACAAAATTTCGTAAGGATCGGGCCATAAATGCGATCTGTATATGATATCCTGATATCCTAACTACTTAGTTTTGTTAGCTGTAGAAATATTACCAAATGTTTAATTCAAAATGAAAATATGCCAAAAATATGACAAAATTGAAAAAATATAAGAAAATATTACAAAATCAATATTTTCATCTTTAGAGAGATATTTTTATGCAATTTTTTCGACGTTTTTTTCTTTCCTGCCAAGAGGCCATTTTGAATTAATGAGAACTGTCGAAATCAGTTCAGCCGTTCTCGACATATATGAGATCTTTCAAGCATATCTTCTTTGATAGACATATATATCGCACATATTTTGCTATATATCCGTTTTGATGGATGTTAAAATCAATGTAAAGATCAGAAGTAACCTTGTCATGGCTTTGTGATTTCGCCGGGATTTAAAATATTCGCGGTTTAATGAAAAAATTTGAATTTTTTCAACACAAAAGATATGGTCTATTTTACCCGCTAAATATTATCCGATGACCACCCAAATTGGTAGGCTTCTTCCCCTCCCTAAACTCTAGCTACATGTGAAATTCCGCGTCGATTGGTCTATAATTGCGACCTGTATAGCTACTGCAAAATCCGACATTTTTTCAGTATTTGGTCCATTTCAACCCCTAAACATTTGGCGATCATCTCCAAAAGCAGTAGGGTTCTATTCTGACCCTAACCCCACCATCGTGCAAATTTTCGTAAGGATCGGGCCATAATTGCGACTTGTAGAGTGATTACAAATTAACATGGACAGACGGACGGACGGACATACATAGCTAGATCGACTCAGCTCGGTGAGCTAGGAAGATCCATATATACTTTTCTATAATATTTCTATAATATTTCGAGGTGTTACATAAATTCTGGCCCAATCAAACTTATAATACCCCCAACACATAGTGTTGTAGGGTATAAAAATTGTTAAGTAAAAAACAAGTAAGCAAAGGCTACAGTCGAGCGGGGCCGACCGTTGAATACCCTACAACACTATAATAAACGATACGGTTTATATATGCGAGATACTCGAATAAATTCCACAAGACATTGTGACAAATAATAAAAGAAAACCATCAGGTTTCGTTCTCTAATTTTCGAATAATAGCAACTTAAACTAATTTGCTCATTTCCAATTTATTGGTAGATGTTGCACGTAAATGGTATTCCTAGATCTGGAACCAATATTTCCCAAAGACCTATAATCTCTCAGAAGTGGCAAAAGGTTAACATTTATTATTGGTTTTTGACTGAAACGCATCTATATGAGATACAGACATTTGACTACATTCTTCAACGAAATCAGCGTTAAAAAAATAGTCAGAAGTGCATCTTTCCTGTATTTGTGAATTCTCCGAAAAGTCACTGGAATGGACAATTTCGTATTTTGTCTACAAAAGTTGGCAAACTCCTTTACACATTGAATATTTTTGGATGGCCATCCAAAACTGCTTGGCTTTTGCAATGTCCGGTAACCCCCATTCAAATGTGCGTGAGGATCGGGCGATAATTACGACCTGCTGACAATTTTGCAGTTTTTTGGTCCATTTCAACCCCTAAATATATGGCGATCATCTCCAAAAAGAGTAGGCTTCTATTCTGACCCTCATCTTATCCCCATGCAAAATTTCGTAAGGATCGGGCCATAAATGCGATCTATATATGATATCCTGATATCCTAACTACTTAGTTTTGTTAGCTGTAGAAATATTACCAAATGTTTAATTCAAAATGAAAATATGCCAAAAATATGACAAAATGGAAAAAATATGAGAAAATATTACAAAATCTATATTTTCATCTTTAGAGAGATATTGTTATGCAATTTTTTAGACGTTTTTTCTTTCCTGCCAAGAGGCCATTCTGAATTAATGAGAACTGTCGAAATCAGTTCAGCCGTTCTCGACATATGTGAGATCTTTCAAGCATATCTTCTTTGATAGACATACATATCGCACATATTTTGCTATATATCCGATTTGTTGGATGTTAACATCACTGTAAAGATCAGAAGTAACCTTCTCATGGCTTTGTGATTTCGCCGGGACTTAAAATATTCGCGGTTTAATGAAAAATTTTGAAGTTTTTCAACAAAAAAGATATGGCCTATTTTACCCGCTAAATATTATCCGATGACCACCCAAATTGGTAGGCTTCTTGCCCGCCCTAAACTCTAGCTACATGCGAAATTCCGCGCCGATTGGTCTATAATTGCGACCTGTATAGCTTCTGCAAAATCCGACATTTTTTCAGTATTTGGTCCATTTCAACCCCTAAACATTTGGCGATCATCTCCAAAAGAAATAGGGTTCTATTCTGACCCTAGCCCCACCACCATTCTAAATTTCGTGAAGATCGGGCCATAATTGCGACCTGTAGAGTGATTACAAAATAACATGGACAGACGGACAGACGGACAGACGGACAGACGGACGGACGGACATACATAGCTAGATCGACTCAGCTCGGCGAGATAGAAAGATCCATATATACTTTCCTATGTGGGAAATCAATATTTCGTGGTGTTACATAATTTTTGGCCCAATCAAACTTATAATACCCCCAACACATAGTGTTGTAGGGTATAAAAATAATGGGGGCCTAGAAAATTAAAAATATAAATATTTAAGTTATTTTCATTTTGTTTTAAAGAAAATTTTTTAATAATTTTATTTTGCAGCTTTTTTCCACTTCATGAGCACTTACTATGACGGCCGCATTGACGAACAAGGAAACCTGGAACTGATGCCCATAATATTCTATCCCGTTATGTATAAACAGGATATGACATTTTCTCTGCTAGAAAATCCTCAAAATATGTTTAGCGTTTCAAATATGATGTTTCAAGTTCACATTAGAACTCAGCCGAATTTTACTCTCGACGCCTTTGGATCAGATGCCTATATTAAGTTGACTTTAAAAGCTTCCTGGAAAGAATTAGCGGCCATCACCTACATTGTTTTGGAATTGCCAAAGAAGCCAGAGAACACAAGCAGCAACAACGTTGAACAACAGATGTTTAAATTTCAAAAACCACTTTATTCGGGCAATTTAACGGCCGATCATAAATTGGAATTGGAAATTATTCGTTTGCAAACAGATGGCACACATGCCAATGCCAATACCACATCACATTTAAGAGAGTTTAATATAAGCGGTGAAGCGAGTCATTTGTTTCGCCTTCTGATCGTCAACGATAGCCAAGTTCAGCTTCAATTAAAGGCAACGGAAATCGATAAAGATATCCAATTTAAATCGCCCATAATTTTATTATTGGAAGCCAAAGAGGGAAATCGTAGTGCGCATGCCACAATTGTTATTCAGAAGCCGGCAACGACAAGTGCTAATGTAACAACTGTCTTTATCAGCCACTCTCTTGTGGGCAAGCTACGTTTGGTTAATGACACCCAAATTTTGGCAATGGATGCCATTGATCTGAAACCTTTGGAAAATTTGGGAAATTATGACTTTTCATTGGAAGGAGGTAGATTTTTCTCTCTCTCTCTCTTAAATTTGAAATTACAAATTTTTTTACAAATATATTTTTATTCAATTTCAGATGTTGCTGAGAATTTTGAACTGAAACAGAACCTCTCGTCACAGCAACTTGATGTGGTCTTGAAACATCCAATTCTGGAAATGATTTTGGAAGAAAGAAGTATTTTAATGTTGAATGTGAATGCCAAGCTGAAGGGGTCGTCGTCAAGTGTAGCTGATGTTCTAATGATTTTCATAGAACTCCCCAAAAAAGGTAAGAAGTTGACGGATGTAAATATTTCTCTTGCTAGAGATCATATTAAAAAATTGTACATTTTTAAACCATGAATCTGATATACATAATCCGTTAAAGGACATTGAACAAATTCGGATTATTTAAATGAAATTTATAATTTTTATACCCTCAGTCATATGGCTATAGAGGGTATATATATAATTTGATACGGCCAAAACGTGCCTCGTCGAAATAACAGTTTTAGACCCTAGGTCTCTTTGGACCAAATCCGTTTCAGGACATTTGGAATCGATCTAGTATTGTCCGTCCGTCCGTTTGTCTGGTGCGCACGATAACACTCGAAGTGAGAATCCAATTTGGTCCAAACCTGGTATATCGTAATATTATTATCAAACTTACATCGAAATCGGTGACGGGCAACATCGGCCCACTCTTTCTGTTAATTCTCCCACAAAGGGTCGAAAAAAAATACTGCACAGAAAGAGAAAGGATAATCTGATTTTGATCCAACTTTAGAAATCCCGATACTTGAACCAGTGCTAGGTCAGGTGCGAAAATGGATCACTCTATTAAGTACCTCCCCCCATAGAGATAGATACGATTGTCTGCAAATTGGGCAAATCACAATATTTAAACTAACCCAAGTTCTGCCGTGAAGATGGAATATATCGGTCCACTCCTTCAGGTACCTAACCCACAATGGTTCGCAATTTTGAATATCCCTGAAGCTCATAAATCGCGAAATCGCCATCCGATCCTGTTCAAATTTGGCACATTTCAATTTTTCTATCAACACAAGTCTGTTATAAAGAAGGTAGAGATCGGACCATTGCTTCTGGTACCTCCCCCACAAAGGGTCACAGTTTTGAATAACAAAAACGTTTATAAAATCCGAAATAAGGATCCGGTTCTCTTTATATTTCATACATCCCATTATTTCTACTAACACAATATCTGCTGTGAAGATGGAATATATCGGCGCAGACCTTCCGGTACCTCCCCCAAAAAGGGTCAACAAATTTGAATATCCTTGAGGCTCATAAAACGCGAAATTAATATCCGATTCCATTCAGACTTGGAATATCTCAATATTTCCATCAACTCAAGATCTCTTATAAAGATGGTAGATATCGGACCATTTCTTCTGGTACCTGCCTCACATAGGGTTCAAGATTTTGAAAAACAAAACGCTCAAAGAAAACGAAATAAGCATCTCTTCAAATTTCACACATACAAACATGTTTGCTAACACAGATGATATATATGTCTGCAAATCGTTCCGAAACCTCACCCACAATAGGGTCACAGTTTTAAATACTTTTATCTCTCATAACTTGCGAAACAATTCAGCGATTCTTTATAACTTGCTATATCTAAATATTTCTCTCAACCAGAAACCTGAAATGAATATAGCTCTCATGTATATGTTTGATCCGATTTGGTGTTTAAGTCCCTCAAATTCATAATATACATTCCGCAAGAATTATATTTCGTACTAGATATCAGATACATCACAGAAATACCTTTGCTAAATTTTATAGAGATCGGTTCAGATTTCTATATAGCTCCCATATATATCTTCAAGCGATTTCGGATTAATTGTGCACCAAATGGCCAATATCAGTCCAAGTGTCCTGAATTTTGGCACATCCAACCGAATTAAATCTAGAAGCAATTACGTCGAACTTGGTAAAAATCGGTGCAGATATAGCTATGGCTCCATTATATATTTTTCATCCCTTTTGGTCTTTAAGTCCCTCACATTCGTAATATGCCCTCCACAACAATGATGTTTGGTACCAGATATCTTATAGAGCTCGGAATTAGTTTTGCCAAATTTTTTAGAGATCGGTTTGGATGGGGATGTAGCTCCCATATATATCCTTAATGACATGTAATGTAATGAAATTTTTTCGAAATTTTTTATATATCTTGTTTCAGAATGTCCTGCCCCAATAAAGCCCGAACTAAATCCGCCATCCTTTTCAAGTACCAATTATGTGTTCACCACGTTTACAAACACAACTGGTTCCCTGGGTGCTGTGAGAGCTTACAGTGAGAGTAATAATGCCATGTTCCATTACATGTTAGAGGTTGGCAATGGTAGGAACTCATTTCTTTTAAATAATCGAAAGATAATCTTCAGCTTTGGTCAAAAATATTTCAGAGACCTTAGCCCAGCGGTTATCTATTGAGCCATTTTCCGGTGAATTGATGTTGTACGGCAGCCTGGAAGTTGGTAACTATTTGTTCAATGTTAGTGCAGAAAATTTGGAAACTCATGAATGGGCCAGAACCCAGGCTGTATTGAAAGTCAGTGAAAAGGAACAGTGCAAAATCTACGAGGGTGTAACGGTGGAGAAAACCTTGGTGATTAAACATGTTGATGAGGAGAGACGCTACTATGGTTTATGGGATATGCGATTTAATGAGAATTGTACATTTTACATTGCCGATATTTGGCCAAAGGAAAAAGGTAGGTGACTCTTTAGACATTTTTTATTAAAAGAATATTTTAACTGGCCTCCTTTGTTCAAAATCGGAATTTCTTTTTTATTTGCTGTCTTTATTTCAATTTTAGAATATCTCTATGTCAATGAGTCCACAAACAAATTGGATCTCTTGGCTGTGGACAGAGAGGATGCCATGTTCCGGAACATGTCCGATGCCCAGATAATTGTGCAACTAAAACTTATTTGTGGCGCCCAACCAAATCCAAATCCGTTACCTTTGAATCACACACGATCAGCACGAACTTTAGAACCCCTGGAACACATTTATAGCCAAGACATATCTTACTCACCCGATACAATGTGGTTACATCTGCTAATAGATGACATCAATGACAATGCACCACAATTTAAATATAAATATTCACGCGATTATCTTGGTTATCCGGCCAGTAAAGTACCACTTGACGTATATCCTGAGTATCTGATCAAAATTGAAGCCACCGATTTGGATTTGAATTTAAATGGCAAAATACGTTATAGTATGCGTAACAATTTGTATTTTGATATTGAACCAGAGACGGGTATAATCTATCCCAAGGGGATGTTATTGCAGCCGCAACAACAAACCGAGCTCATTATATTGGCAACAGATCAAGATGGTCAAGGTTTGGTGTCAGGTACGGTGATAGTGGTCAAGGGTCTTTCCCCAGACTTCTGTACTCTCATTACGCTGCGAGGGAATTCTAGCAAAAGCTTGTCTGAAATCTCCAAAGAATTGCGTGAAAAAACTGGTTATGCGGTAAGGATCATTAAAATGTCCTATGTACCTCAGATGCAAATGAGAGCTGATACGGATGGCTTGATTTGTAAGGCATGGATTTATGCCTACCGAGATCAGCAGTTGGTTGAAACCAAAGAACTGCAGGAGTAAGTATGAAATTGAAATTCGTGTATTGAGTTCCTCTTTGACATTAAAAAAATTGGCTTGTTTTCATTTCAGAAAAATCCTTGTGAAATCTCCTGAGGCTAGCATTGTTAATGTTGAATCCTATGACGAGGCGGCCCAACAGTTTTCGGCTCCACCGAAGTCTAGCTCCAATCTTGGCTATATTATTGCTGTTTCAATTCTGTCATTGGTCAGTGGATTATCAATAGGTAGGTTAACTAGTTCCCAAACATTTCTAAAGCCCCGTGAAAACGTAGGTCGTAGGTCTCAAGTCTTTCAAGTTTTTGCGTTTTCGGAAAGAATAATAGGAACATTTTTACATTTTACACCAAAAAGGCTTCAAAATCTTCTAATGTGAGGTTTACCGAGGAGGATATTGTAAAACCATTGCACAATGGAGTCGCATCCACTTTATCTGTCCAAAACTATTTTAATGTCTCCATATGTAAACCTCAGGAACAAACAGTGACCTGAATTTAGAATTTCCACCTTCTCTCCACCCTAGACCCCAACAGTGACTTCGATACCAAATTTCACAATCCCATCTCTATCCCAACCCCTAACGGCACATTTTGTGTCATTCAAATTCAGGATTCAGCCATATTCCCTCACCAAATACCAAATTTAGGACAATTTAGTACTTTTGGTACAATTATGGTACACATTTTCAAAACCCCTTCATATTTCAATTTCAAACACCAACAGAGAGCTCAATGTCAAATTTTAGAATTTCAGACTTTTTTGTTTACCCAATACAAAATTATGTACTATTTAGTACTTTTCGTGCACTTATAGTACAAATTTTAAAGAAACCTCCATTTCACAATTTCAGAGACCTCAATATCAAATTTGAGGAACCCAGCACTATCCCTTTACCAAATACCAAATTTAGTATAACTTAGTTCTTTTCGAACAATTAAAGAACTCATTTCCAAAACCACCTCCATATCTTATCTACAGACTCCAACAGTGTCATCCATATCAAACTTTAGGATTTCAGCTTTATTCCTTCACCCAGTACCAAATTTAGTACAATTTAGTACTTTTGGTACAATTATAGAATACATTTCTCAACCACTGATACAAAAAGTGACATCTTTATCAAATTTCAGAATTTCAGTCTTATCTCTTCACCGAATACCCAATTTAGTACCACCCAGTACTTTTTCAGCGCAATACTCAACAACAATATCAAAAATTCACTCAATATTAATTTCAATACCAAATTTAGTACTATTTAGTACACATCTACAAAGCCATTTCCATGTCTTTACGGAGATCTCAATATTAAATTTCAGGACTCCCGCCCTATCCCTTTACCCAATACGGAATTTAGTACCATTTAGTACTTTTCGTACAAACATTGGGCGCATTGCCAGATTCATCTTTAAATCTCAACCTCAGATACCAACAATTATCTAAATATCACATTTCAGAATTTTATCTACATCAAATACCAAATATAGTACCATTCAGACAAATTTCAAGACCACTCCTATTTTTTAACTCCAAACACAAACAGTGACATCTATATCAAATTTCATGATTTTATCTCTATCCCAATACCAAATGCAGTACCATTCGGTACATTTTGGTACAATTATTGCACATATTTCCAAAATCCCCTACAGGGTACACATGAACAACGACCTTAATATCAAATTACAGATTTCAAGCACTATCTGTTCACCTAATACCATATATAGTACTATTTAGTACATTTCGTGCATTTGTACTCATTTTCAAAACCACTTCTTTATCACAAACCTACCACTAACAGGAATCCCAATACAAAAATTCGAAAATCCATATTTTTCCGTTCACCCCAAATCAAAAGTATCACTTTTAAAGTTTAGTACCAATTTTGAACTTTTCTTGACATAAAAGTTCGGATTTTCAAAAACCCTTTGGTACATCTATCTTGAACTCCATCAATGACTCTTATTCCAAATTTCATAGCTCTAGTTCACTTCGTTTCTCCAAAAACAACGTTTTCCATTTTTAGTAAATTTAAGTACTTTTCGAACCTTTTTAAAACGAATTTCCAAAAACCAGGCCTACGTCTATGGAGCAAAACTGACACTTGCAAAGGCTGACTGATGCAGAATTTCAAGATACTAGCCAAGGCCGTTTAGTCTGGGCGATAGTTTTCTTAACTTTCAAGGAATCCATGTGATCAAATATGGAGTTTTCAGATTATTTTTCAAGGATCAAATGTGGATTGTAAAGATTATTATTAAGGATTAAAAGTGGATTTTTAGGGATTTGTTTCAAGGATCAAACGTGGATTAAAAAACCACAAAGATTAAAAAATGCAAGGATTTTTTTCAAGGGTTAAACGTGGATTTTTTGAGAATATATTTTCAACGATTAAACATGGATTTTTAAAAATATATTTAATAAAGGATTAAACGCGGATTTTTTTGGAATATTTTTTCAAGGATTAAACGTGGATATTTAAGAATGTTTTTTTTTTTTTTCAAGTATTAAACGCAGATTTTGTTGGAATATTTTTTCAAGGATTAAATGTGGATTTTTAACAATATTTTTTCAAGTATTAAAATCGAATTTTTTGGGAATATTTTTTCAAGGATTACACGTGGACTTTTTAAAATATTTTTTAAAGGATTAAATGAGGATTTTTTAAATATTTTTTAAAGGATTAAACGTGGATTTTTAAGAATATTTTTTAAAGGATTAAATGAGGATTTTTTGAATATTTTTTTAAAGGATTAAACGTGGATTTTAAAGAATATTTTTTTAAGGATGAAACGTGGATTTTTAATTTTTTTTTTCAAGGATCAAACATAGGTTTTTAAAAGTATTTTTTAAGGATTAATCATGGGTTCATAAGAATAATTTTTAAGGATTAATTAAATAAATTAAAAAAAGGATTAAAAAATGCAAGGATTTTTTCAAGGTTTAAGCGTGGATTTTTAAGAATATTTTTCCAAGAATTAAATGTGGATTTTTAAGAATAGTTTTTCAAGGATTAAATGTGGATTTTTAAGAATGTTTTTTTAAGGATTAAACGCGGATTTTTTTGGAATATTTTTCAAGAATTAAATGTGGATTTTTAACAATATTTTTTCAAGTATTAAAATCGAATTTTTTGGGAATAATTTTTCAAGGATTAAACGTGAACTTTTTAAAGTATTTTTTAAAGGATTAAATGAGGATTTTTTGAATATTTTTTCAAGGATTAAACGTGGATTTTTAAGAATATTTTTTAAAGGATTAAATGAGGATTTTTTGAATATTTTTTCAAGAATTAAACGTGGATTTTTAAGAATATTTTTTTTTAAGGATGAAACGTGGATTTTTAAGAATATTCTTTTAAGGATTAAACGTGGATTTTTAATTTTTTTTCAAGGATTAAACGTGGATTTTTAAGAAAAATTTTTTTAAGGATTAAACGTGGATTTTTGTGGATATTTTTTCAAGTATTAAACGTAGATTTTTAAGAATATTTTTTTTTCAACGATTAAACATGGATTTTTAATAGTATTTTTTAAGAACATTTTTTAAGAATTAAACATGGGTTTTTAAGAATATTTTTTAAGGATTGAACGTGAATTTTTACGAATAGAATTATACGTTGATTTTTAGGAATATTTTTCCAAGGATCCAACGTGGATTTTTAAATCATCAAACGTAAAATTTTATGAATATTTTTCCAAGTATCAAACGTGAATTTTTAAGAATATTTGTTCAAGGATTAAAGTTGGATTTTTAAGAATATTTGTTCAAGGATTATAGTTGGATTTTTAAGAATATTTCTTAAAGGATCACCTAAGTGATCAAATATGCAATTTTAAGAATATTTTTTCAAGGATTAAACTTGGATTGTAAAAAAAAAATTGTCAAGATTAAACGTGGAGTTTTAAGAATTATTTTTTCAAAAATACTTGTTCAAGGACATTTCCAGACATTTCAAAGAAAGAAGTCTTATTATTATTATTATTATTATTATTATTATTATTATTATTATTATTATTATTATTATTATTATATTATTATTATTATTATTATTATTATTATTATTATTATTATTATTATTATTATTATTATTATTATTATTATTATTATTATTGCAGATGTTTCATCATATTTTTTTTCTTTTTAATTCAATTCTTTCTCTCTCTCTCCCTTTTTTCAATCCCAGCCTTCATAATTTGGCAATATTACTACAACGGACAACAAATGCCCTTCTTCAATTGCAACACAAAGGCCACATCAAGTGATCATCATCGTTCTAATAATGGTGGCGGTGGTTGTCACGCTCAAGAATGTTCCCATGGCAGGGACAATGGCAGTGAATGCACCGCATGTAGCAACAATTATTCTGCAACAGCTCCGTCTCATCATGTCAAGTTCAGTAATCTCGTTGACAATGATAACACATAGGAGTGTGACAGATGGGCGATGATATATGTAGGTGTGTAGTATTCATGGTTTTAAATTTTTCTCACTTGTCAAGTTATATACAAATATGTGACAAATTACTTTTATAAAAAATTTCTAAATTAAATAAAAAAAATATTGTAAATTTTGTACAACAAATTTATAATGGAGATTGTTTGTAGATTTTATTTAAAATATATATTATAAATGTTCAGAATAAGTACATAAATAAATCTCGCAAAATACTAATTGAAACCAGTAAAGAAAGTCCTAAAGTCGGGCGGGGCCGATTTTATGATACCCTACACCACTTTGCTAATTTAGCTGAGCTCCACTTAATAATTAAAAGTTTTTATGGGAGAATTCAATCATACACCCTATGATTATAATTATGATTTAAAATTCAAAGGACTTAATATGCCGAAGCATTTGTATCTTTTAAATTCGGACTTGTATTGCCCATTTGGTGCGAAATTAATTTGAAATCGGATAAAATATATATGGGAACTATATCCATATCTGAACCGATCTCGATAAAATTTGGCAAAGATATTTCTGAGCTGTATTTGATATATTTCCCTGAATATCGTTGTTACGGAGTGCATATTACGGTTGTGGGTAACAAATACAATAAATCGGATGAACAATATATATGGGAGCTATAACTATATCTGAACCGATCTTCACCAAATTTGGCATACTACCTTTTAGACTAAATTCGGTCGTATTTGCCAAATTCCATACCATTTGGACAAATACTAGACGTTTGGTGCACAATAAATGGTAAATCGGACGAAGTTATATATGGGAGCTATATCCAAATCTGAACCGATCTCGATAAAATTTAGCAAATGTATTTCTGAGCTGCATTTGATATATTTCCCCAAATATTGCTGTTACAGAGTGCATATTACGGCTGCGGGGGACAAAAATAACAAATCGGATGAACATTATATATGGGAGCTATAGCTATATCTGAACCGATTTCAATAAAATTTGGCATACTTGTTTGCAGGCCTAATTTGGTTGTATGTGCAAAATTCCATACTATTCGGGCTGATATTACACGTTTGGTGCACAATAAAAGGCAAATCGGACGAAGATATATATGGGAGCTATATCTAAATTTTTACCGATTATCTCCAATTTCAATAGGGTTCGTCCTTGGGCCAAACAAATGTTGTTTGCAAAATTTAATCTCAATCGGATAATAAATGCGACCTGCATTTTGTTCACAAGAATACATGGACAGACGGACGGACGGACGGACGGACAGACGGGCTGACATGCATAAATCAACTCAGAAAGTGATTCTATGCAGATCATCAAAAGGAACTATGGGTCTATCTCGTTTCCTTTTGCCTGTTACAAACAAATGCACAAAGACATAATACCCTGACCACCTTGTGGTGTAGGGTATAAAGAACAATGAATTTCACATAGTATACCACAATCTGGAGACAGATATCGACAAAATCGATGTGAGTCTTAAGAAGATTGTACCCATACATCCCTTTTTATACCCTACACCACATAGTGCTAAGGGTATTATGTCTTTGTGCATTTGTTTGTAGCATGGCCATAGTTACTTTTGAGAATCTTCATAGAATCACTTTCTGAGTCGATTTATGCATGTCAGTCCGTCTGTCTATGCATTTTTGTGAACCATATGCAGATGCCATTTATTAACTGATTGAGACGAACTTTTCCAAACAATATTTGTTTAGCCCAGAACATAGAACGAACCTTATTGAAATTGGTGAGAATTTGTTCAAATTTAGGTATAGCTCCAATTGGTTAGGTTAATTGAGCACCAAATGGCCAATATCAGTCCAAATTACCTAAATTTTAGCACATTCGACCGAATTCAGTCTTGAAGCAAGAACATCAAATTTGGTGAAGATCGATACAGATATAGCTATAGATCCCATATATATGTTTAATCCGATTTGGGGTTTTAAGTCCCTCACATGCATAATATGCACTCCACAACTATGATCTTTGGTATCAGATTTCAGATACAGCTCAGAATTTGGTGTCTAAAATCGGTTTAGATTAGGATATAGATCCCATTTTATCTTTATCCGATTATAGGTTTATTGTGCACCAAATGGCCAATATAAGTCCAAATGGCGTGAATTTTGGCACATCCGACCAAATTCAGTCTTGAAGCAAGTACATCAAATTTGGTGAAGATCGGTACAGATAAATCTATGGCTCCCATATATATATTTCATCCGATTTGGGGTTTTAAGTCCTTCACATGCATAATATGCACTCCACAACTATGATCTTTGGTATCAGATTTCAGATACAGCTCAGAATTTGGTGTCTAAAATTTTGTAAAGATCGGTTTAGATTAGGATATATCTTTATCCGATTTTAGGTTTATTGTGGACCAAATGGCCAATATCAGTCCAAATGGCGTGAATTTTTGGCACATCCGACCAAATTCAGTCTTGAAGCAAGTACATCAAATTTGGTGATGATCGGTACAGATAAATCTATGGCTTCCATATACATGTTTCATCCGATTTGGGGTTATAAGTCCCTCAAGTGCGTAATATGGACTCCACAACAATGATATTTGATACCGGACATCCAATACTGCTCGAAAATACATCTGAAAAATTTTATTGAGATCGGCTCAGATTTTTATATTTCTTCGATACACATCTTCATCCGATTGTATGGTTATTGTTCACCATATATGTAATATCAGCCAAATTGAATAGATTTTTTCATATTCAACCGATTTTTTACCTTTGGGGAATATTGCGGTATATCTGTTGCCCCAATAAATATTTTTATAGCCTCCACCATATGGAGGGTATATTAAGTTCATCATTCCGTTTTGCAACTTATCGAAATAATAATTTTTGACCCACCAAAGTATATATATTCTTGATCAGCGTACAATTCTAAGTCGATTTAGCCCTGTCCGTCCTTATGTCTATCCGTCTGTTGTAATTACGGTAGAGTCAAAACGAATTAAGATAGGAAGCTAAAATTTTCCACCGATATGTCTTTTGTCTGAAGAATGGACTATAATAGTCCACAATATCGTATAGCCCCCATATAACGTTACCCCCGATATCCGGCATTTTGATGATTTTAACCACATTTTTCTGTCTGAAATTCTACACAAGGTGTTCTTTGTGACTACTTTACCCCCTGAAAAATAATTTTCTATATATGTCCACGATATTCGGCATTTTGATGATTCTAGCCACATTTTTCAATGGAATAGTCTGAAATTGCATACAAGGAGTTCCCTCTGAGTACTTTACCCCCTGGAAGACAATTGTCTATATAGGTCTACGTTTTAATATAGTACCTATATAACGCTGCCCCGAGTTATTCGGTATTTCCAGGATTTTTGCGCCACCAGAATTGCGTCCAATTTCGTATTCGAAGTTCGTAATGGGTATTACAACCTATGACGGAAAATTGTCTATGCAGGTCCACGTCTTAGTATAGCCCCCATACAACGGTATCTTACCGGAATTGTATTTTTCACCGGAATTGTTTCGAATTTTGTATTTAAAGTTCGGAATCGTTACATTCGCCACTGACAAAAAAAATGTTTCTTCCGAATGGTGGAGGGTATAAAAACTTCGATATGAGGATATAGGTTTGAAACTTATTTCGATGAGACACATTATGATCGTATCAGATGACATATTCCCTCCTTAGCCATTAACCTGAGATTATAAAAAAAGGAAAATTAATCGCAAATGGTTTCTTCCCAAATTTTTCCGAACACCTAGAAGTGGTTTGAACTCTGTTGCACAGTGTAATAAAAAAGGTTAATGAAATTATCTGCGCTGCCTGTGCTGTCTTCATTGTAAGCATGTATAAATATTTGAGACATGTCCATTACGCACAGTCATAGAACCAACTGTTAGACGTTTACTTTTACTTCGGTCTTATCAGTATCTTATCAGAATTTCAACAACCAACACAAGGCACCCATTAAGACAGAAGACGCGACAAGAAATGAAAAAAAGAAAAAAAAAAACAAAACGAAATTACTGAAAAGGAAATAACAAAAAATATTTTTTCAAGATAAGAAAATGAGTTAATTGCAATTCAAATTTTTTTGTACACTTCGTTTGGTGTGATTGTATAGAAGGGCATATACAAATGAGTAAGCGACTAAGTGAATGGGTTAAGAAACGCTGAGCAACACAAGGTGTGGGTAATGTATGAATTGGTACTCTGGAAAAATATTTAAAAAAAAAAAATAAATAAATAAATAAATAAAATTATTGAAAAGTCGAAATTAAGAAAGTCACAATCGGAAATAGTATTACAAATTTCAATATTAAATAGGTAAGCAAAGGTGGGGACCACCATGTGATACCCCACAACACTACACTATGTTCGAAGTCCAAATCCAAAATCCAAATACTTTTTGAAATATTTCGTTTTTGAAATAATGTCAAAGAGCCCTGCCCAGAGGTTACCCTTAGCTTCTTGACCCTGAGAATTTGGCCATAGTAGCCGTAGTATTGTTAAATATTCAAAACAATTGCACACAAAAGTTGTGGGCCATTTTACAGCTAAATATAATCCAATGATCATCCAAAATGCTAGACTTCTTCCCTGTCCTCAACTCTCTTCCGATGCGAAATTCCCTGTCGATTAGTTTTCAATTGTGGCCTATAGAACGACTACAAGATTAGAAAAACTTAATTTTTTTTAACCATTTAAACCTCTAAATGTACGTCCAAAGAACAATAGGCTTCAATTCCGACCCAACCCCATGCAAAATTTCGTGAGGATCGGACGATAATTACCCTCAAAGCGTAGTGTTGGGGGGTGTAAAAATTTAGAAAATTTTCAATTGAAAATTGTTAGTCAAATCGAAAAAACCGCATGCGATAAAAAAAATATGACAAAAATGGATAAAATGAAATAAAAGATATAACTTTTTCATTGGTATACTATCTCTATTTTTCTGGCAACAGACCATTCCAAATTGATGGGAATTGTGAAAATCGGCCCAATGGTTCTTGATTTATAAGCAGAATAAATAAGATCAATTTTTTTACATATATATTGTACCTATTTTGCTATATATCCGATTTCTCGGCTATTAGCATTACTTTAATGGTCAAAAGTGATCAGCGGTTTAGTAGAAATTTTCCTATTTTCTAACA